AATAATGATTATATTTTTAAGTGCTATTGATCTGAAACATCTTAAATACTTTTCCTCCTTTTGGTTTTAGATGGAACTGCAGTGTGATATTTGCTTTCTTCAGTTTGATCTGGACTGCCATCGACCGAAGAGTTTGCCGTGTGGACACACTATTTGTAAAGAATGCGTGCAGAATCCTGCCATGGGTAAGAAGTGTCCAACATGCAGGAAGGTTAGTTGAAAAATAAATGAAGCCAATAAATCGTGATACTCTTATTTATGTTTTGGGACAAAAAAGTAAAACGTCTAGGTTTAATGTTAAATTGTTTTACACTGAAAAAAGATCAGCGTGTACCCCTTAGAGTAATTTGTGTGCTTTTAAAGCAAGAGGACTATAGAATAAAATATCAAAATGTCAGTTTTAAAGTAAGACGTAGAGTGAGGAAAATGTTTACTTCCTCAGAACTCACCTTGTTTCCTTTAATCTTAACATTTTAAAACATCAATTAAAAGTGAAATTTGTCGTAAATTTTCCACTTACATTACCATTATAAAAAAATTTATGGCTTGTAATCTTTTTGTAATTTTTACAGTAGTTTTAGACATTTGAAGCAATTTATCTAGTACTAACAGGCTATTGTGTTCTTTCTCAGGAACTGGAGGGTGACCATGCCGTCCTCCCTGATAACATCTTAGCCATCCGATTGATTGAGAATGGCACAAGCCCTTGCAAGATTCCCAGGAGAGACAATATAAAGCTGAAGCAGCTGCAGCAGGGCGTGGATGCGGGAAGGAGGTTGGTGCAGCTGTTGCGGAAGCTGGTCCCCGTGGCAGTGGAGGCCCTGAACCGCCAGCTGGCCTCTTCGGTCACTCAGCTTCGCGAAATGGAAGAGGCTCTGGAGCGCAGGGCTGCAGCCGACGTGTGCAACACGACGCCGGAGCTCGAGGTGAAGGAGCTGCAACTCGTCGAGCAGTTGGAGGACAGCCTCAGTCTTCTGACCTCAACCAAATGCAATGTCATGGCAGAGGAGGGCCGTGCCGCCTGGAGGGCCTCCGTTCAGCTGGGGCCAGACAGCTACATTTTGCATCTTCTCTTGCTGCAGCTGCGGACGGACGGCCAGCTGGAAAAGGTCAGCTAACAGAGTTTCGTACACTCTCTTGATGGACAGGCGGCGTTGCTCTACTTATCAGGCGTATTGCTAGTCCAATGGCCAAGAAGTAGATCCCCAGGGTGGGAAGGGGAAGGGGGAGGGATCCTGCATGGCCTCCTTTCTGGGACGGGCATTGACGAATCGCTCTCTCTGGTAGTGCATGTTAAATACGTTACCCATTTGCTGTTTACTGGTGTTCGGTATAGTGCAGCCCAAAGTTAATGAGCTCCCTCCCCTCCAGGTTGCCAATCCTACGGTCCCTGTCTCTCCGACGACTTTTGTGGGCCCGCCCATGCTGTCTATCCTCTCCATTGTAAACGAAGATCTTGATGATGGTCAGTTGAAGGTGACTGACATCCTTCGAAACGGCCGGCGATGGAAAAATGTCCGAATCCTCAGAAACGTTAAGGGTGGTGGTTCAGACAAGCTGCTGCGCGTCGTTGCCCCGCACCTCGAGGAGGTAGAGATCTTGGGCGGTGCTGAACTGAAGGTCATGGAGGAGGTGGAGAAAATGTCGTCGCTCAAAAGACTCAAGGTTGAATGCAGGGAAGACTTGAACGGCAACTACCCTGACCTGCCATTGCAGCTGAAGGAGCTCTGGATGCGTTTTCCGAAGGAAAACCAGATACGATGTGTGGAGAGCATGGCCAGGCTGCGCAGCCTGCTGATATACGACTACCACGGGCCAAATGTGACCTTCCTCCCCTCGCAGCACGGGCGGTTGCTGTGGCTGGGCGTGGGCCTCAACACGGATCACAAGGCCACCATGCTGTCCCTCATTCGCGCCCACGCCCTCTCACTACAAGAGCTGCACATTTACTGTGCCGTCAGTAACGAAGGCGATCTGCAGCTATTCTACTTCCCGGATCTGGGCCAGGACCTGGCGGCTAGCGGCTTGCACGCCCTCCGGCGCCTCGTCTTCCGGCGCTCCACATTAGATCCCTGCACGGAGGTCGACGCGTGCTTGCTGCAGCTACGATCCGTTCGGGGCTGCCTGCCCTCGTCTGTAGACGTTGTTTGCGAGGCTTGTCATGTTAGGTACCTATGTTCAAGGGTAACGAGGCCCTAGTACTGCTGTACCTGGGCGCAGCAACAGCATTGGAGGGGGGAGCGCAAGTGTGTCATGTCATATCGTATTGTGGCGATATTACACGGTTGGGAAAGGAATCGTTGTCGCGCACCTCTGCTAGCAGGCTGCAGGCTCGGATGAAAACTGTTCTTTCTTTTTGTTGCAATTTTGTTCTGTTTCTTTTCTTCAAAGTTTATATTTAGTTTGATAAAGTTTAGGCTATGGAAATAAATCTAGTCTTTCTTGGTAAATTGTTTAGAATTAGTTCAGAAGTGCGCCGTGTTTTTCTGCGATCTGGAATTTAGCTCGCCAAAGTTTAGGCGATGAAAATAAAGACTAAAGTCTTTCTTGGAATTGTCTGGCATCGTGCATTATTGTTTCTTCCCGCCCCGTCGGAGCCCCTCTGCCAGGCAAGCGTGCCCGCCGCGCTCATGTCAGCCGCCACTGCGGGTGGCCTTCCCCGCACCAGAGGCGCCAAGTATTTACGTTTAGAACGCGGGTCGGAAATGTCTCATCCGCTGCTAGGTGAACAGACGACGTACAAAAATATGGCAGAGGGAAATCACACAAATTTAGCACCGTACGGATGAAAAAAGTAAAAAGGCATAAAATCGTAAGAAGTAAGAAGTGCATTTTTTTTTCGTCTTGCACCTTACCGTCACCTCGCCACGATACTTCAGTGCGCGGGGGTGGGTATGGGGGAAACTGAAACCCTGTGAGGTTGGCTACACGAAAGGGATCGTCCAAAATGTACGTCCGCTTTTCTCGGATTCGTTCGGCAGATTACAGGAGCTCGGCGCCTGCGAAACTCAGGGTAGGCCACCCATCATTACACGCGTGTTCTGCCAGCAAGATGTTGCCTACCTGTCAGGCGCTACGAGAGCTTGCACTGGCTGAACCGGGCAGTTTCGTCACGGCAAATGACGGACCAACTTCCTGTATGATCCCCTAGGTGGCGAGGCCGTGACGTGGTTGGAACTGAACTCAGCAGCGGCCAGCAGGTTATGGTGACCTCCGCTTCTTCTCCGTCAACTCAGGCGGTAAGTGATCTAGACGCCTCAGCGTGTCGTGGTAGGACAGTCGTCGTAGCCCGAACTAGACCGTATTCTCCACGACCCTAGTGGACGCCGAACGTTAGCTAGCTGGTCAGGTCGCCTTACGAGAAGTTTACGCCACATCCCAGCCCCTGCGAGGTATGCCGAGGGGTAGGCGTGCCCGCCGCGCTTCGCTGCCGGCGCTGCGCCTCCCGACGCCGCTGCCGACAGGTGCGCTCCCCCTGGCCCAGACTTCTCTGCGTTCACACAGTCCATCCCTATCCCATGGGGTCCAACATTACACACTTATCTCCATATAGTGTTTTCAATTGGGCGGGTACGGCGGTATGGACTAATTTTTTTGTCTGCCCAAAGACTATTTTAGATGGGGTCGGCTGGTCGGCCAGAATTTTCGGCCATACTCGCCGGATCGAAAACACTAGCTCCATGCGCTTAGTGGCAGCCGATGCGCGAGCGTTTCTTCAACCGGTTCTATATTGGGGGCGAGGGAGGGGGGCAATGGGGGAGGGGCTATAAGCAAACTTAATGCTTGGTAGTAACAAAGCATCTGGTTCCTCATCACTTTGCAAAGCGTCTGCAAAGCATTGCTTTGTAGGAATTTAACAGTGCCGACCGGGCACGATGTATAGCGACGAAGCAGATCCTGCCTCGTCTGCACAGCTCTGATCAGTACTGGCAGGAGGCGGGCGGGATGTTACCAACCACGCTCCCTGCCCCCCTTCCATTCCGGCAGGCTTGGCTC